AGTCAAGTTCCAAGCTGACCTTAGTTACTTATTCTTACTTATTTTCAGGTCTATCTGTTGGATTTGAGGTCCTGAAGTTCAAAAATCAAATTTCATAAAGTCAGAGAGAGAATTTTGTCCAGATGATTTATGTCCTTGTAGAAAATCAGCAGAGAATTCATCAGTAGTTATGAGATAACAGAAAAATCTTTAAAGAATTTTGTAATTGTGAAAATTACAGATTTAGTAGTTAATTTTGCTTTAATAAAAGCATTATTAATTCTGTTTCTCACAAAGTAGGCTTTTTCATAAATTTTCTTGCTGATTTCAGCAGTAATTTTAAGCACAAGTCTTTTCTTCAACAGATTTATTTTTGTTGTTTTCTTTTTAGTTGAAGTATTTGAAGTTGAAGACTGTAAAAAATATATTATTTTGCTACATAAATCTTTCTTCAGTACTTCTGAGTAAGAGAATGATGAAGAAAAGATAGCAGAAGCAGAAACAGAGACAGAAGATTTAGAAAATATTTGATTTTTAATAATAATAAAGTTACTTTTTGCATTCTCAAGCTTTTCAAGTCTTTTTTTCAGATTTTGAATTGAAGAATCTTGAAAAATGGAGATATTTTCAGACTTATAGAAGAATAGAATTTTTTGCAGACTGAGAACATATGAGTTTAACTCTTTTTAAACAAGAACATGTTTTTTATTTTTGAATTCCAGTACCAGTTTTTGAAGAATCTCTTTGAAATTCAGATTGGAGAAGAAGAAGAAGGAGGAGAAGAAGAAGAAGAAGAAAAAGAAGAAAAAGAAGAAGAAATTATTGGAAAAATAAAAGAAGATTTTAGCTGATTTGTTTGAAGTTGATTTGTTTAAAATTGAAATTGATGTTGTATTAGATGTTGTATTGAGTGTTGTAGTAGATGTTGTAAAATTGAAAGAATTGGCTGAGTTGAGATTGTTTTTGCAACTGGTGTCACTGGAATTCATTAAAAAATCAGAAATAGAAGTCATTTTGACTATATTTCAGATAAAAACACTAGATTTTTTCAATAGATTGACAAACTATAATGAATTGATTTTTGCATAAATCAAATCAGAAAAAGTCAGAGTTTAATATTTCCCTGAACTTAACAGAGTCAAGCAGTTTAATAAAAGATAACTCTGAAAACTTGAAGAGATGAGAGAGTACAGAAAATAATAAACAAGTGTACTTAATAATGATTGAGAAAATCTGTTAATAATTTTTAAAGAGAAATCATTTAAATTATCAGATTCTTTGCAGGAAAATCTTCTGTAAAATCAGCTTTTGCTATCAGAATATATATCAGAAATCTTTATACTATAAAGAGTGCAGCTCAATCTTCTATACATCTGAAAAATAGAGTAAAATAAACTACAAGTGCAGATTCTGTTTTCTGTGAAGTTAATCTCAGAGAAAAATCATTTCTTACTTTTTGAAAGAGAAGCAAGAAACTTATGAATAAGAAATAAAATCAGTATTCAAACTTATTCAATTCAGTTTTTTTTAATTCTCAAATTACAATTCTAGCTTTTCCTTACAAAATATAATATACAAAGTACAAGATGTGTAAAGTATAAAATATTTCAATGACAGAATGAGCTTCAACTGCAGAAATACTGGAAAAGCTGCTATAATATATAAGTGTAAAAAATTCTTCTTGATCAGCAGAGCACTGAATCCAGTATGTCTTATCTGACTATAAAAGATTTTAATTACTGCCACTAGAAGACAGATGCAGAGATTTGTGGCTTAGTAAAATCACTGAATATAACTGATATTTAACTGAATTTCTTTCATGAAGTTGAAATTAGACTGAGTCAGTGGGACTGGGATCTCAGACTCAATTCTGGCTTTCCTGTCCCATTTCCCTCTTATGGGATGTACCAGCTGGGACCATGTATGCCCAGAACAGTGCCCGGGACTCTAGTGTATGGTAGGGATTGGGCCTGAAATCACAGTACTATAGATATGGCTGGGCCTGAGACTGTGTTGTTATAGACATGGCTGGCATCAGCTGGAACCAGAATGGGATGGGATGGAATGCAGTACAGTCTATTCAGTTCAGTACTGACATATGGGCATATGGGATTGGGATCCCATCCTGTACCATGTTTAATATAAAAAAGTAATGAATTTTGGTAATGGTCTTAGCATATTTCAGCAATTTTAACACTGTTATATCCATGTTGTCTATCTTATATAATATTGCTGAGATTCCAGTTCCAATCCAGTTCCATCTCTCCCATGAGACACCTGGGATTTGGTACACAATTCTCATGATGGGACAGTTCTGGCTGGGATTACTATCAAATTAGTATGAAATCCCAGTTCCATTATCCCACTGGGATGGAATATGGGATCAATATTGCTGCTGCTGGAATCAAATTCCAAGCTGAATTTAGAACTCAAACCAATGCACATGGAATTTGGGATCCTGTCCCAGTCCCAAGCACCACTCTAGTTGAAATGTCTTTGAAAACTCAAGAGTGAAAGATTAGAGATAAGATAAAATCTCAGAATATCTTGACAGATTATCTCAAAAAGCTTTATAAGCAACTTTTGACATGAACTTCAAAAATTAAGTTTGTGTGCAAGCAGAAATTTTTTAGATGAGAAGTAGAGACTGAAAAAATAAATATAGAGAATAGAAATATAAAACTTGAAGAAGTTTGAGCTGAGAGCTGAAAGAGTGTGTAATTCAAATTTCTAAGTACAAAATTATGTGATTGTTGAGTTATAATTGGAAGAATGAATTTTCACCTGAAAATGGGAGTATTGACTTCATCATCTTATTTCTCAACCACCACACCAAATCTTGCTGTGAAGATGAAGAAGTAGAGTGAATAGAATGTGAGCTTTCAAAGAAATGTAGTTTTGTTCCATTTCAATCAAAATTGAAGAAGTTGTGGTTTTCTGTTGTATGGTGATTATGAATAGCATTTATTATTAGTATAACAACAAACTTGTGTTAATTAAATTTATAATATAACAACAACTCAACCACACTGAACTCACAGTATAAACAGACACACATCAATTAAAATTATAATATAATAATAACTTGTCTACATCAAATCCACAACATAAACAGACATATATCAATCATCATTATAATATAATATTAATTCATCTATACTGCTCTGCTTTATATTGTACTACATCACAACTGTTGCACATATTGTATCATTATCAATATATAAATGTCAAACATCTACAAAAACAAATATCAGTCAGATGCTGTTTGTTCTATTATATTACTTGCTTTAATATAAAGATCATCAAAAACAATTCTCTATAAAAAAAGATAATTGTCATGCATATAGTTTATTGTTAAGACTCTCTATATATAGTTATCTCTTACATTATAGACTTGATTGTCTAAATATATAGTACATCATATTACATGACTGTCTAGTGCAAGATATATTATAATAGTATGACTCATCATGCTGGTGGCAACTTCATTTTGTGTATATAGCATCTGTCATTCTGAATCTCTAAAAAGAATCAGTAATGAGTTGTATTTTAATACAAATCTACAGTTATATTGTATCTTGACTATATTTCTTTCATTTATTATTTCTGACTATAAGTTTCCAGTCTTCAGCCTCACAAATCTGCAGAAACTGAAATTTCTGAAACAACTGACAGAATAACTAGAAATATAAAAGAATAAGAAGAATTTATCAAAATGTGCAGATGATAACTTATGAAGAATATAAAATAAAAAAATCTACAGTTAAAACATCTGACATGAGAACATGTCTGAGTTTTTTAGAGAAGATAATGTTAGAATCTAGCACAGAGTGATAAAAAAGTGTCAGACTTGAGATTATGTGACTGAATTCTTCAGATAACTGTTATTAATAGAATTAGAGCAAGAGCTCAGAATAAGAAAGTATATATTGCACAATTACTTCAGACTTCTCTTTTTTTCATCATGTTTAGTATTTTCAATTAGATCTATTTAATATAACAGTTTATTAGATTTTTCTTCTTTCATTCTTGCATCTAGTTTGAGATCATATTCACAACTGCTTTGATCAGAAGATTTATCAGATTTGAACATGATTAAGTCAGCATGAATGTGAATAAAATAGTGTACAACATCTCAGAGAGCTTCTTGTAAGAGTAACACTGCAAAAGAAACTTAATTAAAATCTTGAAAGGAGCTTTCTCAGTGAAAGATTCAGCAGTGAATTGAGCAGATTCCACATCATATTCAAGAAATTATTCACTTAAAGAGAGGAAATGAGTATAGAGAAGAAGACTAATAGATTATAAGAATTCTAGAGAGTAAAAAAATCAGTATTTAAAAGAAAAGCTTTTTGAAAGACAGAACATAAAGAATGCTGCACTGAATAATAGAATTAAAGCTCTTAAAGCTTTGAAAGCTGCTGAGACTCTTGCTGCTCTTTAAAGTGATCAGAATCTTAAATGAAAGAATGAGAATTTTTAATAAGCTAAATGTGAATTTGTGAATTGTTAAAGAGCTGAATGTAAATTTATGAATTTTTAGAGAGTTAAACATGAATTTGTAGCTTTCTAGAGAGCTGAATGTGAATTTGTTGAATTTGGAGATTTCTAGGGAATTGAACATTGGATTTGTGAATGTCAATAAAGAGTAGGGGGTGCAGCACTGGAGATCAATTCTCTTGTTACATTGATTTTCATACTATTTTGGTGAGGCATTATGTATTGGTAAAATGCCAAGTCTTACTAGCCATTATAAAGACTTTTGTTCCACACCTCTGTAAATCAGATGAATGGTAATCCAATGGTATTCAAAAAATCCATTTTTTCCGGTGCCGTCCCATGCGACTTGGGCGCTGAGCTTCTCAATCACCACGCGGAGCACCCCCTTATTGGCAAGCCCAGAGCCAGCATAGACGCCCACAGCGTCCTTGCCCCAATACTCATACGTTATCGTCTCATTGCAGCCGGCCTCGGAATCAGACAGCTGTGAAGATGCACGCAACTGGTTTAGAGCAGTATTTACTAATACCGCATGCGCTGAAGATGGACGACCCCAGCGCACCAACTGCACAAATGATTTCGTTTTCATCTGTTTCGCTTCCTTGGGAACTCACATTGCGGCATCATTGTTCGACTTGGGGCCCGTGTCAGCTGACGGCTTCAGATCCACCATGTAGCATAGATGGCGACGTCCGACTTCTGGGCGTTGACCTGGTTGAACAAAGCAAAATCCAAAGAGCATTGGCTTGTTGCATGCCCTGCGGAGCTGGTCAAGGCCATTATACAGGGACCATGTGGAACGGTCGGTGCCGGTGCTGCTGCAACCAGATGGGCAGCGATCTCTGCTGTCGCCCCGGTACCGTGGTCTGTATTTCCCAGACAGAACGGCCGCTCTCGCACTCTCTGTGTCTGTTGGCATGCCCGGCGGAGGCCCGGTAGCGGTCTTGACGAATATTGATCCCAGGAGGTCATTTATTGCGACATTAGTCTTGTTGATGCTGAAGTGCCTTAGCTTGCCCAGATGACTGCCGCCGCGGCGACTGTCGCCAATGAAGGTTCTCATCTTGTCACTGCAGAACGGGCGCGACAAGGGAAAGCAAGTTGTTCTGGGTATATTTCTTGAATCTCTTGCCTGACTTGCTTTGGTGACATTTGGGAGGGGTGGCCACTATGATCCCTGCTGCACTGCCTCCATGTGCGTTAAGGAGACAAGAAGATGATACATAGTACATAGTTATGGCAGCCACCGCAAGCGTCCAAGTTCTTAGCACCTCGACCTTTTTTTCTGCACTCTCCTCTACAAATTAATACTAGTATAGTATTACCGAGAGTCGTCTTGTCTGAGAACCTGAACAATCTTAAAGGTAGCAAATGCAGCACTCTTCCTGGCCTTTGAGACAGCACAGCTAACAACACGCGCTGGATTAAACAGGTGCCGAGGGCGCTTCAATGATGCCCGCGGAGGGCAAGCCAGCTTGGTTCGAGCGCTTCGCCTGTTCACATCATCCCCACCCCTGGATTCCTCGTCAAAAAGAGGATGGTATGTACTGCATGTCAAGTCCTGACTTTATATCATATAAAACGGAGCCTATGTTGACACTCCCCCTAGCTACTATCTACGAGGTCATCGTTCCGTCACAACCAACTACTGGAATTCTATCTGTCAATCTCCACTACACTCGTCGCCTGAAGGTACCAGAGCCCTGCGAAGACTCGTGTTACAACCCAGTAGTAGCGGAGAACAAACCATGGCTGCCTTACGCGATCATGGAATACGAACAGTTCCAGATATCCACTGAGTACACATATTACGGTTATGGCAGACTCGTGTGGGCCAAACTGAAAGAAAGGGGCTTCAGGTTTGAGGTTGCTGATACATCTTCTGAGTTGGCTGTGCGCATGTTTGCCAGGCGCTCTGATGCTGAAGGGGCACACCAGATTGTCCCCCTGGGGTCCATCACAATGAATCCGTTCAAGGAATACCATAATGAAGATGGGGATGATAACAAGTGCATACCTGTGCAAGATGTGCAAGATGGCACGGGGAGCGAGTATGTGTTAATCAGCACTTCCTACCTCAAGAAGACAGTGCCGCCATTGCATGATATGGAGGTCTGGCACGTGCGCGGTGAGATTGGCTCAAGTGATCTAGTCTATGTCCAAAAGAAAGACACTGAAAAAAGCTATGGCATGAGGATTGTTCCCATAACCATTGACATCCCCCCCGCGTCTGAGCTTGTACATCGCATTAAACACCCCTACATTGCTCCACTCAAATTTGCTTTCAAGTCATCCAAGGGACTGAGCCTCCTTTCACCATTGGGTAGCGGAGGGCCGCTTTCGCACCACCTCCAACAGACACGGCAGTTCAATGTTGACCAGGCTAGATTTTATGCTGCAGAGCTCCTCTATGCACTGGAATACCTGCATGATAGGCATATTATTCTTGCACATCTGAATATGGAGGATCTCTTCATGGATTCACCTGGACACCTCAGCCTGTGCAAACCTAGTCTTTTCAGTCTGGAGGTCAAGAACAGTGATAATGTTGTGCCAGGAATATCAGAATACCCAGCTCCTGAGCTTGTCAACAACCAAGTTGCTTCGCGGGCGGCAGATTGGTGGGCTTTTGGCATCATTCTTTATGAGATGCTGAACTGGGTTACCTCCATTCTATCACCCAGGACCCCTAATAAGCGACGACTCAAGATATGTCAAGACCCTCTATATCCTGAGGGACTCCCACTGGCAGCCAAGGACATTTTGATTAAGCTGCTTGAAAAAGATCCACTGAACCGCTTGGGGGCAAAAATTGGGGCCTCTGAAATCAAAGACCACCCGTTCTTCCAAGACACCCAATTGGCATGATCTCCTTCAGCAGAAATATACCACTCCTTTCAAGCCCCATGACGCGAAAACGGATTTTTGGCCTGGGGAGAACGAGTACGACTCAAACAGGGGGCGAAAAGTGGAAGAAAAGATCGAAAATGGAAAGGTGTACAGCAGAGTAGTGGGCGCGCCTTGGCCACGATGTGAGTGGAACCAAATTGGCTGGGTGCAGGATAATTCAGACGAGCCTTCATCTCCCGCTAGGGAGGATCCTGATGATGGATGGGAGTTGTTGTGGAATCCGACGTCGTATCGATTCAACTTTCGGAATCGCTTTACTGACGAAACTTCCCCGGGCCGCCTCTGCGAGGAATGCTCCCGGTCTTACCTGCGGAGTATAGGACCGGAACCTCCAGCTATCAGACCCATGGCATCCAGTCCAGCATACGGGCCTCCTCCTTTGAGCGAGAGAAAGGCGGCTCTCGCGACTGCATTGGTGGCCGGATATGGTGTGCGTGTGTTCTCACAGATCCTCGGATACGGGAATGATTTGAACTCGAACATCCCAACTCTTGTCTACACACAGCCACAGAGGCAAAAGGAAGGTATTTGCAATCCGACCTGTTATTTCGATTCAGCAGAGCTGACACCGCTGGAGTGGGCGGTCGAGCACAACAGGCTTGATCTTGTCAATCTGTTCCTGGCTCACGGCGCTGATGCAAACGTTACTGTTGAACCACGAGAGGGACCTGCCCTCCTGAAAGCAGTGCGACGGCGCAACCAGAAACTCGTTGAAGCGCTTGTGCGGAAAACTAACCGGGTCTCTGGAACAAGGGCACTTCAATCAGCAGTGGATAGAGAACACAGCGACATTGTCAACATTCTGCTTGCCAATGGTGTTCAGTGTGACTTCGAGGAGTCTGACCGGCCACTTCCCGACCATCCATGTATGTCCGGATACAAAGATCCTTGGGAGACAAGACAACTGGAAGCAGAACATTTCACGCCTCCGCTCCTCCTGGCCGCTCGATCCGGCAACACAGATCTAGTCAAAGCACTTCTTGCATATGGCGCAAATCCCAATACTCCCTACCATGGCATCGGTGGTCTCCGTCGCGACAGCGATGGCTCCGGGCTTAAGGCACAGGCTGGCTTTACCTGCGGAAGGGTCATACAGTCAGCGATGGAGTATGGGCATCCTGAGATCGTCCAATTGCTCCTCGATGCAGGTGCTGATATCAATCTTCCACGTCCAGTCTGGCCCGTGCCGGTGTGGCCAGTGGGGGGTCATGTGTGTGAGCCAGTACCCAGAGCTGTATATCTTGAGGTTACTGCGGGCCTGGAGGCAGCGATGTCAGCGAGAAGAGAGGCAAGGTGAACTCTGAGCAGGGCATTTGTTGGGATATTTTCTTCTCGATTAGGCCAGCAAAAGCGCGACTTCAGTCCTCCGTGTCCCTGGAGCCTTTGAAGTAGGTGAGATAAAACCATTAGTTCAATGTGTTTAATTCTTTCTATAAAATCAGGGAAGAATTGCATGTTGAAACAATCATTAGATGGAGAATTAGGAGATGATTCTCATGGAATATTTAATATATTTCTGTGATGAAGGTTCATGAAGTTATTATATTTTCAAGTAAAAACTGGGCCTACTTGGCTATAATGGTGCAGAAGTCATTACCTGTTGAATTACATGGTGGAGCTACAGTTAATCGGACTCACGAATTTTTGCTATGGTTCTCTTGAGAAGCCTTGTAGTCTCGACGCCAACTCCATTTCAAACCTTTGCTTGCTAGATGGGCCTTCGCGGATATCTGCTATCATGTCAGTACCAGGGGGAAAATCGAATTCGAAAAAAGGGTCCCCCGCGCCCTTCATGTTAGCAAGCACAGCTTGCCGAAAATGCCATCTCAGTATTTCATCGGACACGCGATCACTATCATTCGGGTTGCGACAGATTGGGTCGAGTATCCTTCCATCAACCCCAAGATAATCCGGGCCAAATGATATGATTTTGTATCCGTCCTATATTTGTGTTAGCACCGGAATACAAGTTTCGTTTCCTTGGGGAGGGCGCCTTTTAATTCACTTACATCAGGGTTTATTGAAAGCAAATATGAATCAAAAAAATCGTGGACATCACCTCTTAACAGCAATCCATTCTGTGTCGAGTTTATCAGGGACGCTCCAACTTCATTTGGCATGTTTGTAACCCAACGGCCGCAGCCTTGATCGATCCATATACCTTCATGCTGCAGGGGGAACACGTGTGCAGCTTTGAATCCGAACCACTTGCGAAACGGCGCTAATGGGTTGAGTACTCCGGTAATGACACATCTTCCGTCCCTTGCGCGGACCCCATCCCGAAAGTGATTCTCCCGGCCTGAAATGGAGTGGCTCGGGACTCGCAAAGTAGAAGCTTCATCCGTCACTTGAATGGGCCCTATGGGAAAAAGAAAAAGAAAACAGTTAAAGTTAAATACGTTTACTATTGTGGAATCCGAAATGGGGCAAGGTAGCTTACCTGCAGAGGAGACATCATAATCTCCAAGCTCAACCACATGTGTAGTATGAGTGATGACTCGCCCTGAAGCTCGGTGTGTGACAGTTAACGACCGTTCTGCAACTAGAAGCACATTTTGAAGGATCCAGAGGAATATCTCTTCAGTGATTGAGCCCGCCTGGTATAAGCCTCCGAATGTGGCTCCTGTCGCAGCAAGATGCAGGAAGATGTTTCTGTATGCAGATCTGTCGGACATACAACAAAGGCAGCCGGGGGATGGATGGATATTGTGGTAGTCTCTCAGGGGGAAGTCGGGAATGGACAGGAGGACATCAAACAAGCCGCATTGCAATGCCTGTGTTTTTCAGAGAGATAATGTTTTAGTCTAACAATACTCCGTATATACAGTTGGAGCAGGTCGAGGATGAGAGACCATAACGTGATCCGAAAGAGTTGACTCAGCAGCCCGGCATATAAACAAACAACTTGATCATGATGCAAAGCATTCCTCCGTATTTGATCTTCTGCTCCACTGCTGGGCTGAAAGCTGAAGTTGCGCATGAACTAACTAGCGCCGCCACAATGTCTTGTCTCTCCACTTCGCCGGCGCTCTTTTGGGTAGCCGGGCCGGTCCCAGCCCCCAACTCGGCCCGCCTAGCAGGGATGGTCAACTTGTCAAGGCCCAAAACTCCATCCTGTCAATTCTGCTCCGAGTCAACAGCCAATCTGATGATTGGGCGGCCGAGGGTCGTGAAGGAAAATGAAAGTATGTTCAGCTCGTCACTCCATATATATAGTGGGCTTGGGATGTCCAACTCTGCAGCTGATTCAAAAAACAAAAAAGGTCTTGGACATCCGCTCTTTTTTCTTCTCCTTTCTTCGCAGCTCAAGTGATACCAGTGAGCGACCTCCTTGTTTTCCACGCCAGCGAGACCAGATTCGAGCACAATGCTGATTCGGCGCTTCCTCCCAATTCTCCTTTGGCTTGGCCTTCCCCTAATCTCTGCTTACGACCGAATCCCCGCTAACGACACTGCTCCTTGCCCCGACCCGTCCGATATCGTTTACTCCCCGTTTGCCCCATGGTTTGCCTTCTACTCAGGTGGCCCCCGTTCATCGTTCTGCTGGAAAGCTGCTATCTGCACACTTGAACCCGCCGATGAGGCTCGAAAACAGCAGTTCGGTGCCACAGCATTGGTTATGGGTCTACTTCCCCTTACGTTGCGCGACCTTGCTTGGCCGGAGCGGAGACTCGTATTGGTTTCGGCGCCGTTGCCGCACGCCGCCGCGGTCATCGTGAGAGCACTGGGCCTGGAACCAATGGTCAAAGGAGAACTGACGACTTGGGGAGAAGAGGATGTGCAACGATGGATGACGTGGGTGCGTGGCAGCTGGGTCGCTGGACTTGGTCTCCGGTCCAAATCCGCGATGAGGATCCTACTTGCAACAAGTTTCGCAATGGTGGTAGTGACTTATGGGGCGCTTGCATTGGTGGAGTTGTATTCAAAGGGTAGCGCGCTGGGCTGTACGTATCCAATTTTCGCACTGACCTGGTGCATTGTTGGGGTTCTTCCAGCGACCGTGCATACCGTATTCGAAGGTTGGCGACGACGCAAGGATATCAAGGGGCAAATCCAAACCGGGAGGCCTTCTGCGGTTCAGGGCGTCGATGAGGCATGGCCCGTCCAGCTCTCATGGGCGATTTTCTACATTGCCGGGACGCTAGTATACACCTCGATCATGGCAGTGACAGTTGTGGAGCTTTTTGTGTGGGTTGTTATTCAGCTTTCGGTGACCGCGGCGAGCAAGCTCCTCGCTCTCTATGTCTGCTTGTCACTGCGAGACCCTACAGCAAATGACGCGATATTCGATCCTTCAGCGGTTCCTGAGAATGGCAGCCCACTGAAAGCTGTCAAATAGGTGGAATGGGATTGGAGTGGCGGAACGGTTTTGAGAAATGGCGTTGTGGCAATACCATGAAATGCTAAAAGCTGTACAGAGTAGTAACTACAATATATATGTTATGGGGAAATGATATGGAGTAGGTCGATGGCCATGCTCTCCGTCGTACATTGCTGGGGACCTTCAAGACATCCAAGTCAACTAGTTAATTGCTGACTAAGTTTCCTAGGAAGTCGCAAATAGATCTGGCTGCAAAACATCATCTGGAGACTGCACTGCTACAGAGTATTCTTCATTTTGATTCTTTGACGCAATGGCCTCAGCTCTTGAAGCCATTAAATATGACCGAGGCCGGCTTTTTATCATCGATCAGCTCCAACTGCCACATGTTACAAAATTTATCCCTATTGATTCATCCGAAGCTGGCTGGCATGCCATCAAAGCCATGCAGGTCAGGGGGGCTCCGGCCATTGCAATTGTTGCGGTTCTCTCGCTTGCGGTTGAAATGCTGAATCTAGTATCTGAGAATATGATACCTGAAGATGGTGAAGATGTGAGGGCCTACATTGAACAAAAGATGGATTATCTTGTCTCAAGCCGGCCAACTGCTGTCAATTTGAGCGACAGCGCCCAAAAGATTAAGCTACTTCTGGATCAAAGGGCTAGAAAGTCAGGTCTATCCGGGGTTGAAACGGCTATGGCCTTTATACAGCATGCGGAACAAATGCTAGCCCGGGATCTTGCAGACAACCACTCAATTGGTGAATATGGTGCTACCTGGATACTTAAGAACACTCGAGCGGCACTTGAAGGCGGCAATACCTGTGTATTAACACACTGCAATACAGGGTAAGGCCCAGTGCGCTTTGGCCCCTGATCTGGGGCTGTGCCTTTCTCGATGAACCGAGCTGACTCGCGCATTCACCACTACAGGTCTCTTGCAACTGCAGGCTACGGTACCGCCCTGGGTATTATCCGCCGCCTTCATGAACATGGTAGATTGTCTCGCGCCTATTGCACAGAAACTCGGCCCTATAACCAAGGAGCAAGGCTAACCGCCTATGAGCTCGTCAGTGATAAAATCCCTGCTACTTTGATTACGGATTCGATGGCTGGGCAGCTTTTGGCAAACCCGGACAAAAAGATCGCCGCAATTGTGGTTGGCGCCGACCGCGTTGCAGCCAACGGCGATACAGCAAACAAGATTGGAACCTATACATTGGCAGTGCTAGCAAAGTTTCATAATATCAAATTTGTGGTGGCAGCGCCTCGGACGACTATCGACATGAAAACCAAGACTGGAAATGAAATCATTATTGAAGAACGTCAGTCTTCCGAAGTCACCAAAATCCGAGGCCCATGTGAGGGGGATGGCGACCATAGAGAAGCGGTAATGGAGACAATCAAAATTGCGGCAGATGGAATTGATGTGTGGAATCCTGCATTTGATGTGACCCCGGCAGCTTTAATTGATGCCATTGTAACTGAAGTGGGAGTTGAAACCAAGGATTCCAGTGGCCAGTTTCACCTGAGCTCATTATTTGAATCAATGGCATAGGTGACTGTACTCTGTAGTGTGCTCCTAAACCTGGCCACAGACCTAAGATACCAATTAGAAAGCTGTAGTTAAAGTTCTTAATTTTCCTCATAAAAGTGGATTTCACCAATATGTAAACACATCACATTATCATCACTTTAATTGTGAACCTGAAAATGATTCCTGCATTTAATAGCTATTTTTTTGAAAATTTTGAAAGTGCCCCAAAAAGTCATATTGCAATCATAACTATTTTACAGAACCTATCAATACATCTGATTATAACGGTCGGAAACATGGTTATTTTGTCTACATAACTTATCCTCTGGTAAATCTAGCATCAAATCAGAAACAGGTTTTCACTTCTTTTTCTAAGCAAACTTTCAATTGAGATATGAGAAACCAATTCTGGGAATTCCCAGAAGGAAAAGCCATATCCCCCTGATGTAGGTAGCTCGTGTCATGTGGAGTTGCGAACTTGTAAATGGAGTCGGCAGGGTATCTCTCCAGGAAATTTTGTAATTGGGTTTCGAGCAGAACTGCAAAAAAGGCCATACAGGAGCCAATCATTCTTTGGACCATAACCATTGGTTGGCATTATGTTCGGGCGGGCCATCTGGATGGCTCAAAAAACCCCTTCCAGGTCCTTTACTCTGAGAGTAATGATATATCGGCACCATTTAACCAGCTCCCATTGGATCACATAACACAGCATGATTCATCATGCTGCTGTATTACTTCAGGCTTTTTTTCCACTTTTAAAGACCGGACTTGTCTCGCTCGGGCTCCGGTCATCCACATTGTGAAGGCGCCTGGAATGGGCGGAGGCCGAGGCTTTTTGGGAGCAGGGGGAGGAGGTGGAGCCTCTCCGCTTGCTATTTCTTCAGCATCTAGGAGATAGACGTTAATATTGAGCATGGCCAATAAACCTTACTGAGTGGACTTCAAAAAGAGTGATTACCTGTTTCCGGTTGCTGTTTGACATCGATGATAGTGTCAAGAGGAACTTCTTCTATTTCCGGAGGTGGCGGATCTGGTTCTTTCGGTTTCTCGGGTATCGGCCACATGTGCATAGTTATAGCCCAGTCTGGTTCAACGACAGTTTCCCATACTTGTGGAAGAATGATATCTCCGTTAGGACCGACGAGATCATAGCGCCCTTCAGCAACATGCTGACCAATGACGTCAATATGGAGGAAGGCTTGCCGTATCAGCTCTTCCATGCCCTGGGGAAGCAAACAGTGGTTAGAGGAGAACAAGAAAGGCGGACTAAACGGCATATACTCACCTGCCATGTTTTACATAGATGAAAAGGGAAGCTGAATTTCCTCCCAATGGCATCTTTGAATTTTACAGGCTTTTTCTTCTCTCCTGACTTTTTCGCCGCAGCAGTAGCAGCAGCCACAGCTTCAGCTGCCTTGAGGTTTGCGGCCTCTGTCGCTGCCGCGGCGGCTTCCGCCACTGCTATAGCAGCTGCTTCCTCAGCAGCTTGTCTAGCCTTAGCAGCTTCTTCAGCTGCCATTAGTTCAGCTTCTATTTTCAGCCTTTCTGTTTCTGCTTTTGCCTCTGCTTTTAGTCTGTCAGCTTCCAACTGAGCCTCTGCTTTTGCTATGGCTGTCGCCTTTGCAGCGGCCTCTTCTGCAATTTTCATTTCAGCAGCTGCTCGCTCTTCAGCCGCGGCTTTATCACGGGCGGCCTTTTCGAGGGCGGCTTCCCGTGCCGCTTCACGAGCTTCACGTTCAAGTCTCTCATCCAAGATAAGCTTCTCAAGCCGCGCAATTGCTTCATCTTTTGGGTCTGGCTGGGGCGGAGCCTCTGGGGGCGGCGGAGGTGGGGGGGTTTTCTCTTTTTCGGGAGGTTGTAGTGGGGGTGAGGGCATTGGGTGGTAAGCATGCAAAAAGTGAGGAGGCATAAGTTCTCGGGGGAACGCATAGGGTTGGTTATAGTGGAAATACCCGTGATGTGGATGGAAGGGAACCATATCTGGTGGGACGAACGGTGCACTTGGGAACTGTGGGTTCATAAGGTGAGGGTCTCCATGCCCAAAACCCGGGGGCGGGGGGCTCTCGCCATCTCTTTGCTTTTCCGAATGGTTTCGAAGCTGCTGATGAAGATGATGGGGTGGCGGGGAGTGATGGTGGTCTGGACTATCAAAATAAGGCGGTGGTATACTATGACCTGGCCCAGGGAATCCGGGCCCATACGGGTAAGGTCCGCCCCCACCGTACTGATTCATATGAGCCATGGGGCCCATATGCCCCATTGGACCAAGTTGGACCAACTGATTGGATGGCATCCCCGGGGTATGCAAGTGCGGTGTTCCGTGAGGCCCAGTTCCATGCGGATAATTTCCATATGAAGGCCCGGAAGCAATGCTGTGAGGGTATCCGGTGGGAGGGACAGGCGCAACAGGCCAAAATCGCCTTTCGGGGGGGCCTGGCGGATACTCAATATATTCCTCAGATGAGTCTTCACTTTCAGGCTCAGGAACTGGATGAGCAGGGCGGGCTCTACGGGGTGGACGTGTAAGCGGTTCCCGCTCGTGAGGACCGCGCATTCGAACAGGATGGCGTCGCGTTGATCTAGCGCGGCCACGGGTAACGGCCGCATGATGGTAGTGGGATGTGCGAGGTCTTGAGGCAGAGTCAGAGGGCTTTAACTCATCGGGGTAGGATAGATGGTCCCACGGGCCACCGACATCATAAGGATCATGGTATTCGTGGCTTCCCGTAACTGAGGGCGGGGAGACTTCAACGCCTGTACCAGAGGAATCCTCCTCGCTTAGAGACGAGTGACCTGAACTATGAGAGGCTGCGTGGTCAATAGTGATGTTAAACCTGTTGGGAGTCGTTTGCAGTTAGCCAGCTGTCTCTGGATGCTAGGTCTTGTCCAAAGGGGAGATACGCACGGCATCAGGCGACGATGATTTGACAGGGCCAGGGACTTTGATGATCGCGACCCCAGAAATGACTACTTCACTCTCGCAGCAGTATTCTTGTCCGTCATACGCTTCAATGAGCTATTCATAGAGACCGTGTTGGCGACGCAAGTAAAGGCAATATATCCCAGAGACCGACGCTGAAGCCCAAGCAGCTGGGCGCCAGAAAACTGAGGTTGAATGGATGGAGTTGTTGGAGCACTTCAAGGGGTTGCCAATCTATTAACTATTCAAGAGAAGCAAGAGACAGATATGTATGTACATACACCCAGGCATCGAAACTTGGATGAGGAGAAAAAGAAAGGCGCAGGGAAGTATCAATTCAGTCAGACAGGGCGACGATTTTCCAATTGCTGCCCAATGCTAACTAGTTAGTTAATGAGAGTCTGAGAGATGAAGCAAAACAAGTGCGCTGGCAGGGCTGCTTAGTCACCCCGTTCTGATCTGCTTGCATTTATTAGTTGCATGGACAAACAGCTCGAGACTGCAGACTGCCATCCCAGGCGCCGCCTCTTCCCTCACAGCCATTGTCAAAGGAGAAATGAACCTGAGACTTTCAGATAATGAGGCGCTGCTGGACCTTTCCCGGCGAGCCACGTCCTTTCTAACCGCCCATCCTCCGGGCTTGAGTCGGCTCCCGTCCTTTTTGTTTGGGAAGCCGGAGACGCCACAGCTCTGGATGGACTACGAAGATGTACTCCTAGCCTCCTTAGCAGCTGGCAACGACAAGTCGTCATTGGAATCGCTAAACCGCATTACAAGCCGGTTTGGCTCTACGAATGATCGAGTAATTGGACTACAAGGGCTTTGTGACGAAGCGCTTACCGAAAGTGACGAAGCGTTGGAGAACGTTCTTGAAGGCTATGAGACCGTCCTAAAGGATAACCCCGTAAATGTGGTATGTTGAATTTCCAGCCCTGCTACAGCCACGGCTCCAAACCCTTATCAATTACCGCAGCCCGTTTTAAAGCGCCGTATTGCCCTCCTGCGTGCCATGGACCGCCCAGCGGAGGCGGTTTCCGCTCTTGTCGAGTTTCTGGATGCGTTCCCTACAGATGCCGATGCTTGGTCGGAGCTATCATGTCTCTATCAAAGTCAAGGGCTGTATTCGCAGGCTATTTTTTGTCTTGAGGAGTCCCTTCTTATCTCGCCAAATGCATGGAATGTATGGTGGACCCCTCTGTTCAACCTATATCATGGCTGATCACCATTGCTAGATGCATGCCAAGTTAGGCGAGGTGTTGTACCTATCAACATTACATTCCGAAGACTCACAATCAACTATTCAAAACTTGACTGAATCTGTCAAACGGTTCTGTAGGAGCATCGAGCTTTGTGATGATTATATCAGAGGATATTATGGTTTGAATATGGTATGTCCTTTTATCATATGTTCCTTTACTTATTATGCTCTTTTTCAACCGTATATCCTGGATTTGGATGCTGAAAATATGTACCAGAGCACATTGCGCCTGCTAGAAGCTGTTCGCATCCAAGGTGGAATCAAAAGCTGTGATGATCTTCCTTCTCAGCATATTGTTGAAAGTCTTCATAAAGCCTCCATAACTAAACTTCACAACATTTTTCTTCAAAACAAAGGCATGTTAGCTTCTAATCATCAACATACAGCTCTCTTGGCTGTTAGACAACTCTTAACAAGATATGGAGAACTAGCAGAGTAACAGAATAAATAAATATTTGAATCTATGCTATTAGACTAGGATGGAGTAGCAGTATTGATATATAAATACCCATTCCAAAGAGAGGTCCATGTGGAGAACTGCTGTAATACTCTATTAAGAAACATATGTATAATAGTCATTTAAGTTTGAATACTTCCTGTCACTGGCAGTAAATCATCTCCAGTGTCCCCATCACCTCCATTCCCCGGGTCGCACGTCCATCAATTTTTTTTTTTTTTTTTCCAATGAGAGAACAGGCTTCTGGTAACTAGATGGAAAAGTATAGCACCAGATGAAGGAGATGATTGAGTGAGTGACTAATCCTTCTTTTGACCACAAAATTTGTGGGTATGGTCTTTGACGCTTCAGCCAGAAGTCGGTTGGAGGGATTGCATTGACCCAATTCATTATAGGCTTCTATAATAGGCCTTACAGGAGAAAGCGATCGGAAAAAGCCAATCAGGTATTAAATATAACTTGTTACATAGCAGCCTTGGCCCATTTTCCTTCCCGCCCAAATATCCAGTCGTCCGTTCAACAAGGGGTGGAGAGAATGGAATATCACGAGAAGCAAAAGGGAGCATTGAAGTGCAATGTATTTCACGCAGTTACTGTTTCTTCAGGCCATTTTGACTGACATGGACAATGCATTATGGGGCTTCCATATGGAGAACAGTCCCCAATTACACCGAGCAGACCCCTGTGAAGAGTTTAAAGTGGGGTAGACGCAGGAAATCTTCATAGTCGACTCGAGAATCATTGGGGTTCACAGGTGGCATCCATCGTAAGGATAGCCCTGCCTTTGCGGCGCATGTTTCGATGATCTTGCGGTCAAGTAGGTAACTCTCGAAGGAAAAAGGGTTTAAGGCGTGCACGGTAACTTGAAACTTGACTCCGTTCTCAATGGGTTCAAGGCCTTTCAATGAGAGCCCAAATCGTGGCCCCTCAGGGAAGGATTTGACGAGGTAATCTTGATTTGGGGTGAGTCCAATGCACCTCCCACCAGGCTTGAGGCTGTTGTGGATGTTCTGCCAAATGGCAAAGACTTCTTCTTCGGTGGCGACGTAGTTAAACATCCAGATGGCGATGACAAGATCGAAACTTCCCAAGTCTAGAGACTCCAGAGGTTTGCTGCAGTCGGCAACGTGAAACTCGAGCCGTGGATCTCCCGAGGACTGTCGGCGAGCTTCGTTCACCATTGCCTCAGAAATATCCAAACCGACGACTTCTCGGGCTCCCCATTCGATGAGCTTTTTGGAATAGTAGCCGGTTCCACACGCAAGGTCTAAGACTCGTAGTTGGCCGACATCACCAATGTGGGATCTGATGGCTGCTAGCTCCAGCGCGCCAACTGGTAGTGCCTTTATGGCGTTGTATTCCGCTCCAATATGATCATATTGGGTGGCCATCGTGCTAGATGCAATTGACTTATTTTTCAATCAAAGATAACAGGAAAGTTTGAACCAACAAGAAGAGTTCTTGACAAAAGTTCAGTTGCAAAGAACAGTCAGGCAGCCAATGCCTTTAATAAGTTGATTTCTGTTGTAGTTAGACCCCTGGTTCATTGTCCTGCAGTTGGTTACACAAACCAGGGTGGCAGGGAAACAAATGGTTGAACAGCTTGACCTCAGAAATGGCAACCAAGTTAATGCACACATTTAGCAACATGTTGAAAGTTGATGGGTATGTCTGTAGTAATTGTGAAACCACACTGTTTTGCAGCTGTGGCAAGATGGTATAAGATTCAAGTTATGAAAATGGTGTACCATCACAGAAGTTCAGTAGTTAACAGCAACAGAGAAGATAAGATTAAGATGAACAAGAACCATAAAAAGAGCAGAGTGCAAAATCTTGTGATAATGTACTTCCCCACCCAACGAACATCCCCACCCACCGAACACCCAAAACTCACTTAACAAACTTTCAACCCTCCAGCTTCAAAATTCAAAATATGGTCAATGAGGAATCTATATGTCTTGCAATTAAGGATTTGGAAGGTCAGAAGACCCCTAATTTCAAATCTACTGCTGAAAAATATGGAATCAATCAAATTATGTTGATGTGATGCTTTAAAGACCAACAGACCTCAAGATCTGATGCAGCTTCAATTCATCACAAAAAGCTGTCAAATCCTCAAGCTCTCATTCTTTTGAAGCATATAGAGATCCTTTCTGAATATGGAATCCCTGCTATGTCTAGAATAATTACAAATCTCATTGCAGAAATCACTAATGAGGACATTGGAAAGAACTGGATCTCTCACTTTTGCAAGAAGTATGCAGGCCAGATCAAAAGTGTATATATACAGACAATTAATCAGAAGCAGAAGACTGCAGACAACTCATTCTTCTTTCTAAGCTTCTTTACTATAATATTTGTCTTATTCCATTCTTTTTTACATTCATTTGACATGCCTTTACTGACAGATAATCTCTCATCCTTCCAGCTTGAAGAAAAGATCAAGAAATATCAAATTAAGCTCTCAAATTCATACAATTTTGATGAGAAAGGCATAGTTCTTGATCTTATACAAACTGTGAAGCAAATCCTTACTCTTGATGCATTAAATTCAAAGCAGATATTGGGGTCTATGCAGTCAGAGATTCAAGATTTCATCTCAATTCTTGCCTGCATTTGTATGGATGGAACAGCACTTCCACTGTGCTTAATCTACAAGAGAGAGTCAAGAGATATGCAAGATAGTTGACTTACTGATTTGATAGCTCAAAGCATCAAGCTTATTTCCTGCT